CCCTGCGTGTGCAGGGGGGTTGGACTAGATGACCTCTAGAGGTCCCTTCCAACCTTAAGCATTCTATGATTCTATGATTCTATAAGATTATTACTGGTCTATTACTTAGACCACCCTGCATGAACTTCAGCTGTTGCAATGTTTTAGCCAAGCAATTCCCAGTGATGTCTTTTAATTAAAAAGGAATTTTTGTGGACATGACATGTTTATAAAGCAAATGATGATTAAAAGCAGTTGGACACAGTAATAATAAATAATAGATTTTATAGAGTTCGCTTAAGCCTGTATTTAGAGTCTAGTTAATAGTGTGATTGGATAAATATACAAAGGGTGAACACTGAAATAATTGCCCCTGCTATAGCTAGGCTGAATTTGGAAACATACACTAGGCACATATAATAAGGCAGTGCTTCTTAACCTGTTTTTTAATCCAGGAAGTACAAAACACACAGGAAACCATCAAGAAAAACACAAACACCCCCCATTGTATTCTATCACAGTCTTTCTCCTTTACAGCCAAATAAATGAGCTCTCAAAATTTAGGCAACGTTATACTGTGGCTGTTCTCTCCCCCACCTACTTTTTCCCTGTGTTGCTTTTTTTTGTTGATGTGAGAGAGAGCTTTCCAGGATCTTGCAGCAAGTTCAGCTATACGGACAGGTACACTGCCTTAAGAAATTAAAAAAAACTGCTAGCAGAAATGAATGAATCATCAATATATGAAACTTACCGTCACATTTCAGACAGGCTTTAGAAAATTTTGAGCATTAACAGCAATTAATTGGTTAAGAAAATGGATGTTCTGGACAGGAACAATCAAAAAGAAAAAAAAAAGAAAAAAGAAGCGAGTACATGGAGTGGGAAATATAATACACTTAATAGAGTTCTTTGATTCTGTGGAACATGTTATCTTCTTTACGTTGGCTTGTCAGGTTTGCATTGTTTCTTTTTTTTGTTTTTTTTTTGTTTGTTTGTTTTTTTGTAAGAGTACTTTTTTTGTATGAGAGCAACTGTTTACTAAGTTTTGTCCATTTAACAGTATCATATGATCATATTAATCCTGTTGTTTAGCTGCAATATAAGACTTTGCTTCTACAGATTTCCAAGTGCTCCTAGATAAAGCAGTATTTTTATTTCTATATATTCTAGGTTAGGTAAGATACCCTGATGAAGATCTCCTAAGAGGTTTTTTGCTAGAATGTGATCAGGTCTTTCTGCTCTGCAAATCAATGCTCAACTGGGGCACACGTCTCCACGATCGTTTTTTTTTTTTTTTTCTTCTAAAAGTGGCACAGAATGTTGTGTTTGTATGAGTGCATTTCTTGGAGACTGATAACAGTTTTCAAGCAGAGAAATAAGAATTTTACTGTATTCCACCTAACCTGAGTGAAGGGATATGCTGCTTCTCATGCTGATTTCAACCACAGAGTTCTTGCTGACCTGAGTGTGAGCAGAACTTGAAGCCTATATGATTATAGCATCTGTGAAGTAGCAGGCATAAATGAAATGACCAGTGAAATTTCACCTTTCTGTCTTTACTCTTTGAGAATTTTTGCTTATGGTTACAGCAATATATTAAGGTTATAATAGCGTACTATATAAAGAATGCAAAAAGTAGCATGGCAAAATGCAGTAGCAAAATTACATTAGGGAACAATCATTGAGACAGATCAGAATTAATTCTGAGGTAGTTTAATGTGATTAAACCATTTTGTAACGAATGCAGCCTAGATAATCTTTTCTAAAGCATTCGCATGATGGTGCTGGGACACAGTTATAACATGATCATTGTCTTCATTTAAGGAAGAGAAATATAAATTGCATATTATGCACTCAGATAGAATTGTGCAGAACCCAAGAGAGATATATTGCAGTTCTGCAATCTGACCACATGCATGTTGTGTTTGTATAGAGTGAACCACATTTTAAGACAGACATGCTTTTATTGACACATTGTGAATTTGTAAGATGAAGTGGTGACAGCTAATCTGGGAAAAAAGTCTGATATGCACCACTCGAGTATTTTTTTGTGTGTGCTATATATGGGATACTGATGAGCACCTTAGTGTTTCACTCTGGTTTTATATATGCATTATACAGGCAAAACTGTAGCAAAAGATAACTCTCCCTGTTTTACAGATTAGAAAACTGAATCCGGTGAGGGTGAAGTAACTGCAGTCAACCAGTAATCTGGAGAGCTGTGGTCTCCCCACCCAATGGGAGCTGCCGACCACCAGCATTTCCCAAGTATTTCAGCTGGGTTTCTCAGCTGTTGTCCCACGTCCCATCCTACCTTCCCTGTGCATGGCTCCCCTTTGCACCTTCCCTGCCCTGAGGAGGAGACTTGGTTTGTGTTGGGGAAGAAGGGAGGAGGGATGGAGCATCAGCCACTGCTGTAGTTGCCTTTTTTCCCCAGCGCGTCCTTGGCATCGCCGGCTGTGACTCGATGTCGGCTCCCATCGGCTTCCTCAACGGTGATGCTGCTCACAGCACCCGGCGGGCTGCAGGAGCAAGCGGCTCCATCATGCAACCAGGTGAGCCCAGGAGAGCTTGCAAGGAAGTGCTGCTTGCTCTTCACCATAATTTAATATAAGAAACAGCTGAATGGGTTTATTGTGCTCATTCTCCTGAACTTCCGAAATAGCTAGAGCCTAGAGAAACAATTTAAGATGAGTCTTTTTTTTTTGGCTTTGTTTTTTAAACAGATTCTGAAAAAAAAAATCATGAGTCTTGATTACTAAAGGTTTTGCAGACATGCTGACAATAAAAAGAACAAAAAATATGCAAAACTCTATTTTAAGTAAGTATCACATCTTGAGTTCTGAGAATTTTAAAATAAAACAATTATTTCTGTAATCATGACCTTCTGAAATAACTTTAATATTGTTATTATTTAGTTGTCAATTTTCTCTATATTTAAAATGGCAAAAATCCTGAAAAATAATTCTGAATGGATTAATAGGATTAAAGCAAACATTATTACATATTTAAGATTTTGCTTGTCTGTTTTTACTTTTAAATAACATTGCAATATGCTTTCTAAAAAGTTTTAATTAAAACAAATATTTTGCTATGTACTTTAATGAGACTCCCTCTTTAACCAGTAGTTCTATATGATTAGCATCTCTCCCTAAAGTGTCTTTCTAGATTTCAGAACAATTTGAGATCCTGTTGTCTTTGCACAGCTCAGGATGCTGTCAGCCAGCCTGCTGGTCCATTGCATTTAGCTCAAAGAATATGGTCATGATTCCAGCTCAGTATTTTCATATCTCTTTAACAGAACCTTTTAATTCAAGGACAAATGTTTCAATAATTAGTTACATCTGTTATAGAAGCACAAAGGAAAATGATAAAATGATCAGACAGTGCTATGAGAATCTGCATTATTTTTTAAAACGCGTAATCTTGAATGAAGCCAAGTGAATACAAATTGTATGAACAGGAAGAACAATGTAGTAAAAGAATATACACATGCCTTTAAAAGTCTGGAAAAAAGTATGATAGACTAGTACATTGTGCATTTACTGTCGTTTCCAACTTTTTTGCTATTTGGGAATTTATAATTTGAACAACTACTAACTGGACAATAATACACAACTACCCATTCTTCCTACTGCTGTTGCTATTAAAAGGATCATTTTAAAATTCCTTTCTTTTGTCTTATGCCAAAAAACTCTTTTTCATCATTTAAAAAATAAGGTCAACAGTGTATCTAAATATATATTCTGGAACGAAATGCAGTATTTCAATTTTCCCAAATTCAAATGCTGATAAACTTGTAAAAACAGTACATCTCTCAGCATAGTTTGTTAATATAAAAATAGCAACCATTTTTATAACCCTGATTATTTGAAACTGTCTGTAAAAAATCCCGTGATTAATGGGGGAGAAGAAAACATGCTTATTCCATGCTATGCCTGTATTGATGACTAAGTACTATTAATTCTCTATGGGTTGAATGACAAAGGAGATCTCAGATTATGAGCTCATTGGTTCAGATTCAGGAATTCTGCTTGTCTGAGCTGCAAAAGAATATATTCATAATAATACCATATACTGAAAGTGGGAAGATTTTTTTCTTTTAAACAGATATGGGTTAGGCAAGAAAGCGAATTCTGTCTGTTTTTTTTTTTAAATGATGTAATTTACTGAGAGATGTATTTTTGTAATTTCTTCTATTCTATTTGTCAGGGGAATGGACTGTGACACCAACACATTCCCAGCTGGAAATATAGGTGCACAAATGTGGACAACCTACCAAAGGCAACAAACAGAATCTCAGTGTCCTGGCTTGAAGGAAGCAAAAGTTAATGGTAAATGTTTTTTTTTTTTTTTTTCCTACTGATGTCAGTGACAATTTTGAGGAAGTTTCATATCGCACAGATAGTGGCCTTGAATAGTGTGCTGAGCAAGGAGGGTGAGGGGCCTGCCCCAACCCTTGTGCACCTGGGATGGACACTGACTCAGGAGCAGCTCAGTTTGGCTGCAGGCCCCTGTATAGGCAGCCTTGCCAGGGCTGGCTATTTGTCAAGGAATGCGGGTTTCGGATTGCTGTAATTAATAATTGTTTCCCAGACTAAACAGAGGCCATTCTTATCAACAGAAGGGTGACTAAAGGCCTCTTGGTTGGGAAGTACTATTTTTATTGAGTGTTAAATCAAGCAAGACATTGAGCCAACACAGGTTTAAATTTAAGTAACTGCTTAAATGCTCTACTAGAGTAAGACCAATGTCTAATATCTCAACAAATCAAGTTCTGAATGGAAATGATATGTTTTATTGTAACCTTTGAGGCTATTCACTTCCCCTTTTGAAAACACCACGAATACTAGAGATCTCTTATATAATCAGGTAGTACTGGTAGTTTTTTTCCAGCCCTAGGAATAATGCAGGAGATGCACATAGCTATAGTGCATTTCAGAAAATGAAATCTAGTTAAACATAATCACAAGAGTGATTTCCTTCATTTTATAGGAGAGAAACAAGGAGATAAAATTTCCTCTTGGAATGATTTTGATTTAAATTAAAAAAACATAAAGTTGAGTAATTAAGTGCTTTACATTAAAAGCTATGTGAGGTTCATAAATCATTCATATTAACAATTTGTTACTTGTATAGATTTACAGTGATTTATGGCCCATTAAAGCTATGTTTTTCTGTGATTTCTCTCCCTGCCCCCACTTCTTCCCATTCACCTTAACCCTCTCTTGCCTACCACAGCAGCCATAATTTGACTATGCCCATTATGGATACTTCGAATTTCTAGTGAAGACATTTATTCAGTTGTTCGGCAGAAATGTAAGAAACAAAAACGTAGAGAGAGTTGAGGGAAATACATTAATCTTACTATTGCCATATGCTAAAAACTAATACTAGTATGAAAATTGAGCTGCTTGTTTATTATTCTGAATGGATCTACCCTCTTCGTAATGCACTTTGAAAACATCTGGGATAGCTTTTTCATTAAAAAAAAAAAACTCACAAAAACAATCCCCCAGAAAACGTTCCTAACACATTTAAGTAAGAAGCATAGTCTAAAAAACCCAAACAAACAAAATCCCCCTCCCCCCTGAAAAGCTGGCAGTTATTTGAAGGCATGGTGAAAATGAGGCAATGTTACAGGATTCGTAGTGGATGGAAAGGAGCGAGGAACATGATGCAGCTGGTTTATGGCCATACCACCGGCACCTGGCTGTGGACCTTGCTGCTGGCCAAGGCCATTCAGCCTGTGTGTTGGTTCTTCTGGACCAAATGCCATCGCGATGTCCCCAGTAGTGCTCTGGCTGTCACATGGTGGGAGCTGCCAGAAACTCATTATATGAGTGAGATCCATGAAAGGCATGCTGGCAGTTTCAGCTACAGTCTCTGTCTCCTTGTGCACTGGGTATTTAATAGTATCACCTGCAGGCCCTGAGGATGCTTCTTCCAGATTGATTTTGTGAAGCGACTGAGGTTCTGATAATGACAGGTCCTCAAGAAGATGCACGTTGTAACCTTTAACATCCACTTTGATCGGTAGATTCTTGAGGGATCCTGCTGCAAATGAGGTAGAAGTAAGGTCATATTTATTAGGCTGATGAAGGTTCACGCTGGCAGGAATGGTTGTTGGACATGGTGTGGGATGGACAGCTGGAAGGTTGTCTGCACAGCTCATCCTCTGTAAATGAGGAGAAGGTTCGAGAGGAAGAGCAGTTTGCAGGGCTGGCTGTGAGTGAAGATGCGAGCAGTTGTATTCCTGTGGCTCTGAGCTGTTCAGAACCCCATTCTGCATGGACACCCTGTCAGGAAAAGAGGACAGTATGCTGGCATCTTCTTTCAGTCTGAATGGAAGAAGCTGGTCGAGGAGACCCAGTGAGTCACCGTTCTGCAACCTACTCTTCAGCAGCTCTTGTGGATGAGTCTTCCTAGTATGGCGAGTCAAGTGGTCCTTCCGCCCAAACCTCTGGGCGCAAAACTGGCATAGGAAGTCTTTGCAGCCCGTGTGAACCACCATGTGTCGCCGCACGTCTTTACGGGTATAGAAGTGACGTTCACAGTGGTCACACTTATGTTTCTTTTCCTTGATATTGCCAGTTGGCTTTCCTGCGTGACTTTTGAGATGTTCCAACAAAATTTCAGTACCTCCAAACTCTTGGGCACATACCCTACAGGTGAGGTCCCCACTCGTGGCTGCATGAAGAGCCAAGTGTCTCTTATAGCCTAGTTTGGTGTTGTACTTCTTGCCACACTCTTCACACTTGAAGGCCATCTTGTTAGGGTCATGAGTTTGAAGGTGATTCTTCAGATGGTCTTTCCTGTGAAAGGTCTTTTCACAATAACCGCATTGGTGAGATTTCTGGGGAGAATGAGTGGCTGAGTGCCTAAGACAAAAAAAAAAAAAAAAGTATTTACAGTCCTATAGCACAGAACTGAGCTGCAGCCTTAAGACTTGGAGGCACTGGCACTCTTGCAGGAAGAACACACAGTGCAGGAAGAATATATATTTTCACAGTATTATTAAAAACCTAACTTTTTTTGGTGGAGAGGGAAGGTTTTTAGCATTTAGAATGGAGTAGGTTAAAAATACTGCAACAGGCAGTCTGAGTAGCAGCTGCAATTGAGAGAGACTAGTTTCCTCAAATTCTCCCAATATAGGAAAATGAAAATTGGACTCAGAGATGAATTATCACTAGGATATCCTTATTTTTCCCCAGACACCCACCAGAAAAGCCGTGCCTTCAGAGCTGTACCTGAGCAGTTTATATTTGGAAATGAAGGCTTTTGTGCATCCGTGCTGTGAACACTTGTAGGGGCGTTCCCCCTTGTGCGCGTAAGTGTGGACTGTGAGCTTTTCAATGGAATCAAATATCTTCCCACAGAGTCGGCAAGGGTAATTGTCTGGCTGCTTCACTTCTCTTCCCTTCAACAGTGAAGACCGGCCATTTCTCCATTTAGGTATAAACCTCACAAGAGCATCACAAGTGCTTCCTGAGCTGGCACAGCTAAGCTTTGCAGCAGAGGAACAGGAAATGGTCCCATAGCACTGTGCAATGCTTTTGCCTAATGCTGCTCCTCTCAGTTTCCCTTTGAGTTTGCTTTTTGCTTTTACAGGTCCCAATTTATTTGATGGTCTGAACCTGGTGGTAAGGACTCGGTCTTTATTGATGCACTGGTGAGATTCCAGTAGAGCAAAAGTTGCAAAAGCGTTTCTACAGCTGGAGCATATCCAAGGGTCTACGGGCTCTTTCTGCAATGAGAACAGAAACAGGTCTGTCTTATTAGCCATTCGAAGCAAAGGTCATACTCTTCTCACTGACCTTGCATCTTCTCCTGGGCTTTCCCAAGACCTCTGTTGTTTTCATTTATGATATTTACTTCAATGCTACCACATAGCCATTCATCTGGACATTGGTTAACTCTAGCAGTCTATAAGCTAGAAAGAAAATAATGGCTTTCTGTGTTTTTCTTTAGTACTTATTGATCCTGAGTCCTTCACCTTTGTTTATCTCTGCATACTGAATTTCAAAATCTCTACACTTGTTCTTATTTCAGAATTACGCACTATCTGCAGCTGTACAAATAGCCCAGAGCTGAGACCTAATTGGGTGTTTTTCTACATAGAAACATAGGTTAGCAGTACAAGATTTCCCTGTGCTGTGGATTGACACTGCACTGCTTGCCCCTTTATTTGATGCCAATGGTTAATGCTTTCAGGATGGACTTCCTCACCTACTCTGATGTGTGGCATCTGACCTTCTTAAGCGCAGTAAGAAACACTTGAGGTTTGGGACTTTCTAGTCTACTTTGGCTTAAAAGCACAAAAACAATTTTTCACCAGGTTTTCACTAAGTAATGCATTATTTGGTATTATCTCTTGGTAATTAAGCACTCTGCAGATCTGCTGAATTCTCCTGAAATACTGAAATTTGAAAAATTAAAATGAATAAAAATTAAAAAGAGTTACCAAGGAAATGTACTTCCAGACTGTACATGATCACATGTTTCCTTAGCTATCTCCATATTTTACCTAAGCATCCCTGTCCTTACTAACTGTCCTTACTGTAAGGTTAGTATGTCCTAGGGACCATCCGGAGGCTATGTCCACTGTCTTTCTTTGCAGCTGGAGCCCTCTCCTCTCTTTTCTGTGACTTACAGAATGGCCTCTCGTCCCTTCTTACTGAATTACGCTCTGAAATCCTCTATGAAGTGCAGAAGTGGGATACTTCCTTTCCTGAAACACCTCTGCATTCATGATTAAACTGCATTTCCTGTTCAGTTTTTCCTTCTAGCTTAGGTTTTTGTCTCTCAATATTCCCTTTTTCAACAATTCCCCCCCCTTTTTTTTTTAATCACTCTGAGGATTCCTATTATCATACAAAGAGGGAAGGTACTGAGATTATAATGGAAAAATTAAGCTAGGGAAAACTGAAGCTTATATGCAACTGGGCAGAGCATAAAGAGTGGCAACCATGAACTGGTGAGAGAACTCTGAGGTGAGATTAGTCAGTTATCCAAAAATTAATGCTATTTTACTTTATTAATGCTAAATCAATGATAATTTATTAATTTTAACCCCACTGATTGATTCCACTGTTGTCATCTCTTTTAGACTATAAACACAGAGCAAATATGGCTTTCCACTAGATAGCTGCTTGATTAAAATCCCTCTTGGCTTTTTGTTAGCCTACTGCTCTTTTATCCTAGTATTACTGAAGTTAGTTACATAAAGTATGTAAACAAATAGTAATTTGCTACTTCTGGTGACAGCTTGAGTGCAGGTTAGGGATACTTACTGTTGTTACTGCAGGCAAAGGGCAGATGTCAGATTCTTCTTTAATAAAGACTGCAGAAGCTTCCATAAATTTGGCATAATCGGCAGCATACCATACTTTTAATTCTGTGTGGGGTTCAATTGGCTGTGAAGAGAAAGAAGTAGCTCATGTTTACTTGTGCCACTTAGCCTATAGAAATGATAGTGTATTCAAAACTGAGATGTGCAGCTTATCTTTGTGTTCTTTGAATTTGTTTAAATCACTGGTCTTAGTTTCAAGACTCAAGCATTTTCTGAGCATTACTGTATCATTAGACTTTTTTTTGCAGTTTTGAAAAGCAGAAATGCATATGCACAGGAAGAGATTTGGGGACAGGAAGCCAAAAAGAGGAGTGACCACTACTTAGTGAGATGCATTTTTCTGTAATTCCCAGAAATCCAGCAGTCTTTCCAAACAACAGAACAGGTTGATGCTTTGTCACCTAGAGGCCCATTAGACATAATATTTAACTATAGGGTAAAAGCAATAGAAAAATGCATGGTGTGTGCCCAATAGCTTGGATGCCTCCCAGATGTCACACTCACTGAGCAGTGGTGTAGAGCTGATCAGTGAGAGGACTCCAAGTCAACTTGCATATTTCTCTGTGCTGTCACTAATGTCTCACACTCACTATGCACAGTCAACTTGCATATTTCTCTGTGCTGTCTCTAATGTGTCACACTCACTATGCACATGCTGTATTGTACTGCTATATTGTCTGTCCCTTTCACAGAAGCCTTCCCACATAACAGAGCCCTTGATCTGCAGTCTCCCATCCAGTCACGTCTGCCCACATCTTCTCTTGGAATGGACTATGACCTCCTCTGACAAATACTTCAGTCAACAACACACAAACAGAAAAAGAGGCGTGATTATACTCCCTGACTAAAGCTCCCTTAGGTATTTCGATAAAGGAGAAAAGCAGCTTTGGGGTCAGGCCCTGACTTCCTACCTCCTAACTCCAGCATTTTGTTCCTCTGTAATCAAAACAACAACAGGTATTGCAATAGGTGCACAGACGATCTGCATTGTATATTAGGTTTGTTTAAAGTAAACTCAAATTGTGCCCCTGTAAAGAATAAATTAGCTTTGACAGACATCAGTTGTGTCTTACTCCACAAAATGTGCCATCTTAAAAATGCACTTAGTTGATAACATCAGTGTTGCATAAGCCCGGTAGGTGAAAAACAACTTTGGAAATGCTGACATGTGGCAGATAAGCGTGTAACATCCAAAAATGAACTTCTGAGCTCTTGAGCACAAACCTGCTTGCTAGCTACAGCCCCTATAGGCCAGCTGCACATTTTGATAGCATCTGGACTAAATAAAAGTGGTATGTGCTGAATCTTCCACTTAATAAAGAGACCTAAGCAGAAACAGAAGGCTGTTCACACATGGTGCTTCTGCATATAGACTATTTAGATGAAAGAAAGATCTTGCCAAGGGGGGAGGATCTCTAGAGGCAAATACCGGGGGCTGTCCAAGCTTCTTGGCTGATGACACCCAGGACTGGTTACCATAAGCAGCTGCAGAGCATGACATCAACACAACTTTCTGCCCATCTTCCTGGACCAGCAGCCACCTCCTCACCAGGAAGGGAAGTTAAGACCACATGTGAATTTTGAGGGGCAAGTGTGTGAAATGTCTGAAATAAGCAAAGCAAAAGCTCTAATCCTGGCTCTTAAATAAGCTCCATTATACAAGTAGTCTATGAGTTGCTGTTGTTTCCTGTGTCTCAGCCAAAACAATAAATGAGAGCTATGACAGAACCCTCGTGAGATTTCCCCTGCTATGAGACAAACAGGTCTGGATGATTTTTATTCCCTCATGATTCTATACATTTTAAAACACTTATTTATGGGGACTGCAGTCATGAGGTCAGACCTTACTCTAACAACAACGTTAGCAGGCTGTTTACCTGTATATGTACATGGATGCTTTTGTAACTGTGCTACAAATTATACTCCAACTCTTTATAAAAACAGTAGGAAGAGGAGCTAATATTTCTACTCCCAACTTAACATAGTTTATTCAAAATACCTTGAGAAAGCACCTTCATAACCAGCCCCAAACTGCCTCACAGCGTGACCAGCAGGGTGTGCCTAAGCATAGCAAAAGGCTGTAATTTTCACGAACAGGGACAAAATCTGTAGGATTCCACAAAAAAAAAAAAAAAAAAAAAAAAAAAAAAGTGAATGAAAGTGTTTGGGGACTTGAATGTGGGAAAATCAAAGTTGACCCATATGCATATGATGCATAGTACAGTTAAGCTTCAAAAGCACACTATTAAGCCTAAAATAGCTCATTTTAGTATATATAATGCAGCTCCCAGCTACTGCAAATGAGCAGTGCTCTGTTGAAGTTACCAGGTCATTGCTTGTTTTGTGCCAACAGAGAGCTAGTGCAATAGTATTTAAACTATCAATATGTTACCTGTTCAGAAATAAAACCTCTTAGAAAAGCATTTGTTCACAGTTCCCAAATATAGTACTACATGTCTAACATACATTTAAAATCATATATTAAACCTCAAATGATTCACAGATCAGAATTTTGAGGATAGTCTAAGCACTGTCTCAGATTAGTATCTACTGTATTACATTGACTTTCTATTTTAAAGCATTCAAATGCTTTAAATGCTATTTATTACTGTTACAAAGGACTGACTGACTTAAAAGAGATAAGGTGCTATCAATCACCATTACTTTACTCTCACATCATCACTGTATGGTAAATACTTTTCCCGTGTTTCAAGTGGAAAAATGAAAGTGGAGGAATGAAAGTAAATAATACTATCATCACACATAAATGTGTGCCAAACTTGGAAATCAAATTGAAATGCTAGATTTTAATCCTACAGTAACTTCTTTGGCTAGTTTCTCTCAAAAATTTATTCTTTAGGCAGCTCATGAAGATAAAGAAGCATTAAATTATAGTCTCCATATTTAATTAGAATGGAAAGCAGCACTTAAAGATTCTACTTAATATCCTGTTTCTGAACACCTGGTGTTCAAAAACGTCATAAAGGAAAATAATGTGTTTGTTCTTTCCAACATGAAGCACTGGTGAATATAACAGTGCTAGGCAATCTCACCACAAACCTATTTGAAGAAAAGTAAGATTTTTTGGTAACATTCATGCATAAACACAGTTATTAATGAATGATATTTTGTGCTTTTTTTTTTCTCTGCTCCAATTCTTTACTATCCAGAGAGTAACCACACACTGACTTCAACTGGAAAATCCCGTGCACTGCTTCCTTTCTATGGATTAAGTGATATAAAAGCTGGTAGGTAATAAAAAAGCAATTGCTGGAATATAATCAGTCTTTCATCTGTAAAAGCGCTAGTCTTTCACAGTCTTTGTCTATGAATTACCATTTAAATGCTAGGTGAAGCCAGGTGGGTTTAGCTACCTTAACAGTCGTGAAGTAGACTTCTCCAGAGTGCTGATAAGCCACAAGAGTCTGTTCTTCTTGGTTCCGGGCTAAACGGACAAACATCATCCAGTTTCCACAGTCCTCATCAGGAGTGTCCAGAAAGTACTTTCCTCCATCTTTTAATACCTGAAATATAGTGGGAGGATGGGAAACAGAACATGATAAAACCAAGTCTTGTACTGAGACACCTTTATTTTCTTTAACTTGGAATCATGGCTACCTTCTCCCCAGTAAAAAGCACAACTCTGTCCTTTGAAATTGTGGTTGTTTTGAAATAGATCACTCTTAAATAATGCCGAGAGCAAAAGAAAGTGAAGAGTGAACACTTTCCAAGGCACTCAGCTACTAAAATAACTGTAGGCCTTTGTATGTATTTCCACTTTATATTTCATCATTTTATGTTATATAAAGATAATATTATAAGGACTAAGTGCAGGCAGGTAGAAAGATAAGCTTTATGCCTAATGTACTTCCTGAGTTCTTGATAATCTCAAACATTAGTGCTATATTAACGCTATGTTTTGCATGGAACAATTATACAACTGTGTAATAAGTCTAAAGAGGTATCGTACAATATAATGGCATTTTAACAGTCATCTCCTTTTCCTTGTAACGATACAAAGTAAATACAAATGAATAATTGTGCTTCAGGGATCCCTTTTTTGCTGCTTAGTTTCATTCTTGTTAGATTCCTTTTCAAAAAAATGCCTCAATGAGGCAAAGTACTCCAGATCTGGTGCAAGAAGGTTGCTTCTCTTCAAAATATCCTGGAAGATAGACTGCTGAAGCTGCACAACAAATGTCAGTACTGCATGTATCAGTTCTGCTAACCACTTAAAAATCTCTTGAGAATTAACTATTAATTCTCAAATTAATATTTGAATGAATCTCAAATCTCAAAGCAAGATTCATTTTCACTGCTTTGGGGAACTACTTTACCTAACTTTGTCAAGAAAAATTCATGCCGGTTGGATAAGTTTGGTCACGTACTTATAGTTCTGATAGGAGAAGTCAAGGCACCTGCTGCTCTCTCATCAGAAATGTAGGTGTTTTGCCTCTTATTGTGAAGAAATCCATTTCATCAGGTAGAGCTGTGCTTATCTAAATATGCTTCTGAGCAAACGAGGCTGATTGATAGAGGATAGAGTGCAGTTTAAACTGGCTTGGCGAAGAGGAAGAAACTGGATATTTAGTCCACTTGTGCTTATAAATTTGATAGAGATATGTGTTCTCTGTATTTTTAAGAATTAAAGTGCCTCATAAAGACTGAAGAAAGTTAATCATAGGTAAGATAAATTCTCTTTGGTGCCAACATCTCTTGAAAATCCCACAGAAGGATAGTGTTACCTCGTTGGCAGACCCCTCATATGACCTCCATGAGCAAAGGCTGAGTGACTATGGGATCTGCTACTTTTGTTCTCAAGCAGAACTAGAGGTGTTGTCTGTCTGCTCGCCTTCCTGCACAAAAGACAATGTTTCCCATAGCCCAGCTCCTGCAGAAAACATGAGTGAAGACCAAGTATGTCACAGGACAGCAGCCAAGGGTTGTTCTCTCCTGAGAGGTAAGAAACTTGATGTTCCGTGGGGGTTCTGCAAGGACTGGGACTCACCAGGGAGTCCTGCAGGAGTCTATGGCGGGACCATGGACTCAGTAAGACAGAATTCAGGCACAACTGGGCATCCCTTCAGTTATGTTTCCTTTTGATCATGGACAAGCCCAGGAGGGATGGACTCCCTGAACCCAGCTGAAGGGATGAACACAAGCAGAGACCTGGACTTATGCAGCAGAGTGCACAGACCAGGATTTAGCAGATTACAAGAAGCTATCACTCCCAAGAAACTGGCGGAAAAGGATGCACATGCAGATATAACTAAGCTAGGCTGGTGCTGAAAGAGGCCTTATTTGTAGTGGAAGTATGATTAACAGTGTCCTGGTTCAGATAGGTGTTCAGTATCTCAATATGCAGTAAAGAGTATTACCAGACCTAAATAACTGTCTGTCTGAATAAACTGCGTTTGTACACTGTATGTCAAAGTTTATAAATATATTCACATCACTGAGAAGTGTTTCTTCATCTCTGTACTTCCCTATTAAGTAGGTGCCTTCGTGATTAAGACTAAAAAGGGATGTTAAGTCCAAATCCTTCTGTTTAATTGTTAAGATAGTACCATCCTTAGATACTTTCTGTAGTCATGCTCTGTGAAAATTTTATCGAGTTGTTAGACTACTACACAGTGATTTACTGTAGAAGTAATAGAACATTTGTCTAGAAAGTAAATAGGCAAACTTCTAAAAACACAGCATATGTGTTCTGGCACTTTTGGGTATGCTGTGCAATCTAATATGATTTAATTTCATTATACAAGCATGGATCAGAAGTACAATTGATTAACCAGATTAGAAGGTAAATGCCCAGTTAATAATGAAATGTTAAAGACCTATATGCACTTCATATTCAGTCATAGGATTTTTGCATAGGGAACTTGGACAAAAGAAGAAAGACACTTGTGCCTCTTAGTAAATAAATAAAATGAAGAATATAGCACTGTTTTTCTGAAATAGTTTCCAACAAACATAGAAATCCAACAACAACAACAAAGTCCTATGAAGCTCAGAGGAGTTTCTGAGTTGGTTAGTTACTTACCTGTAGGACTAGCCTGCTCTCATCATAGCGGGTCAGTTTTGTAGACAGTTGACCAACATAAGGACCAAACTGTGTTCTCTTCTGTATTACTCTTTTTGCAAATACTCCAAGGACTGCAAAAAAGACCAGTCTGAGATTAATAATGAACTATTTGTTTCCTATGAAAATAGAAATACATACAATAGTACTGAACATGTGAACATTTCTTTTCTACAAATAGATCATATAAATCATTCTAGGGAGAAGAGTACAAAAAGATGTAATTCTTTAAAGAGACTTTTCAAAAGGGGACTGAGCACAATCTGCAAAAATGCCTAAATCCATAACAGGATATTAAAGTGAGAGATGACATATAACACTCAAAAATTACTGGTGCTTTTCAATGCACAAGATGATGTGATAGTGCTCTGCTTGTTGATATAATTACAAGTTGTTCTCTCCCAACTTGAGTGGAGAAGACCTATAAAAAACAAAATAAGCCTTCTCATTCATTTTAATTATAAATTATTCTCCTATTAGTGGTATGATGCAATGTGATCTAGGCAGAGTTCAATTTTACCCAAGTAACTGTGGAAAATCTGCATGTTAAGGATGTAGTTTCTGTGTTCAAATCTGGGAATTCAAACAGTCCTACCATCATAGCAACATAGTTCATGTCAGAGAGCAATGTAGTCTTTCTACAATGGTCCCTGAAGATGTCACAAAAGATAAATTAATCCCCTGTGTTCTCTTGGGTTTACAGCGGGAATGAGGAAGAATGGAATGCGGGGGTTAGTTGCCATTTTGCTTCCACACTTCTATTGAATACTGTTTTCTGCCAGTCAAACATTGCACAAACTCTGGCTAATGCCTTTCCATCAGTTTATGCACTGACATTACTGGAAATCAGTCATAAAAACAGTAGTTGAATGTGAGCTTTAATAGTGCTCATCTCAGAATAAGGTAGACTCCATACTGTTTACACCAAATATATCTTAAGTTATTAATGAAAACAAGCCAGGATTAGTACTTTTGCATTTTTTTTTCTCAAATGTTGGAGAAAGAGCTAAAATACTTACTCTGCTCATTTCCAGCTCGTAGCTCCAACACTCGCAAACTGAGGTAATGAGGTAGGGTAAGACGGGCTCGGCTAGGAATAACCCTATCTTTAGCCCTGATGAGTGGTCCATGGAGCTTGCATTCTCCTATAAGGCTTTTACCGCAGTCCTCACACCCTACAAACCCAGAAAAGAGAATCCAGTTACAAAAAAAAAAAAAAAGGAAAAAAAAAAAAAAACAAACACTACTCTTCTCCAATTCAGTATTTTTTTAATTTTTGACAGCTGAGGGCATATCTTGAATTACCAATGTTTTTTTTTTACAGAGTTTCTCTACATAAAGTAGTAAAAAGGTTATCTATGTTTTGATCTGTCGAGCCAAAACTGAAATATGAAGACTTCCACTAAGGCTTCCAGTTTTTACTTTTTCCTGTGTGAATCAATAGGTCTTGAACTTCAAAGATTTATGCATGTACTTATCTGGAGGCACTGCAAATAGTATCTTTGGAGACGAGAACTACAGCAAGATTGAAGCTCACAGTTTGCACATCTAAAATCCAGGTGTAAATACTTATATATAAATGAGAAGGGCAAAGTTATTAGTAGAAAAAGTGAAGTAACTTGCAAAGATCCAGAGCGCAAAAAAAGAAAAAAAGAAAAAAAATGAAAAATAAATAAATAAATAAAAGACTGGGACTGTGATGCATGGAGCATTCTCAGGAGAGGACTAGACCCTCAGGATACTTTGAAAATGATTTTTATAGGTCTGAGAGTCATGAATTATTTGACAATCAAATCAAGAACTGCCTCTTTATAGACCATGCTGCCTATGGAAATAACCAAAAGGAACAGACTCTGCGTTTCCTGATCGTTGTTTCACAGTAATGACATCTGCAGGCTGAATACATGACTCATCCAAAGAGGTCATTAATGAGAAAAGTATGTCTGCAAATTCTGACTTTCCCCCAGCACACTATATTTTTAATCAAATCTATCTTAAACTGGTTGCCAGGGAAGTGCATATTGAGCAGTGGCAAAAATTAGCAGTGACACAAAAACACTTGAACAAAAGTCATATGGACACTGGTGTTACATAGGGAGATGTGAGAAACATGTACAGTAGGTCTTGCACAAAATCTTTTTATAGGCAGTAGATATCCTAACTGGTGAGCCAACTTTTCCTTATGACCAAGCTAAAGGAAAAGCTGACAGCAGTCATCCATGACTACCTTGTCTTGTTTTACTTCTGAAAAAGCTGTTGAACAAGTCTATTCAGTAACTTACAATAAGGAAGAGAAGAGAAAAGTCAGAAAACCTAAAAGGATTCAAGAGAGCCACGGGAAGCTGTGGCAACTACTGGGGCAGGGGACAAGAGTCTTCCCAGCAGATAGGGACCAGCAGCAAAAGACAGCTCAAGGGAAACCTAAGGGGTCAGTAGGCTCCACCTGGAGAGACGTCAGAGAAGGTCTTTGAGAAAGGGCAGCAGTATCAGTATTATAAATGCAGTACTCAGGGCAGCTCCAAAAGATGTAGTTCCAACTTGTAAACACGGTTAGGCACTTGATTAAATTGCAGATCTCAT